ACTTTATCACTGGTGTAATGTAACGCTTAATATCTTGTACTAGAGATATGTTGTTGCTTGTATGTAGGCCTTGTTTCATGTATTTAGTCCTAGAAGTACTTTGTCACTGGTGTAATGTAGCGCTTAATATCTTGTACTAGAGATATGTTGTTGCTTGTATGTAGGCCTTGTTTCATGTATTTAGTCCTAGAAGTACTTTATCACTGGTGTAATTAGCGCTTAATATCTTGCGCTTAAGTTGTTATTAGCGCTTAAGTTGTTGCTTGCATGTAGGCCTTGTTTCATGTATTTAGTCCTAGAAGTACTTTATCACTGGTGTAATTAGCGCTTTATATCTTGTACAAGAGATAAGTTGTTGCTTGCATGTAGGCCTTGTTTCATGTATTTAGTCCTAGAAGTACTTTATCACTGGTGTAATTAGCGCTTAATATCTTGTACTAGAGATATGTTGTTGCTTGCATGTAGGCCTTGTTTCGTGTATTTAGTTCTAGAAGTACTTTATCACTGGTGTAATGTAGCCCTTAATATATTGTACTAGAGTTGTGTTATTGCTTGTATGTAGGCCTTGTTTCGTGTATTTCCTAGAAGTACTTTATCACTGTGTAATGTAGCGCTTAATATCTTGTACTAGAGATAAGTTGTTGCTTGCATGTAGGCCTTGTTTCATGTATTTAGTCCTAGAAGTACTTTATCACTGGTGTAATGTAGCGCTTAATATCTTGTACTAGAGATATGTTATTACTTGTATGTAGGCCTTGTTTCGTATATTTAGTCCTAGAAGTACTTTATCACTGGTGTAATGTAGCGCTTACTATGTTGTAAGAGAGATAATTTTTTGCTTGTATGCGTGTACACACTATATTGTTCGGAGTTTGTTATTGTTTGATACAAATTGTTAGAGAATACTTGTGGTTGTGAAATGAAATAAAGAAATGTAATTTTTGTTCTAAGTGACCAAACCACAAAGTTTGTTTGTCGTCGTAACAAGTGATGAACCCGGTGAATTCATATTGCGCTTCCTCGTAGGTCGATAGTAAAGAAAAGTTCAATAAAACAGCTATTGAGATAAGCCTAAAACAAATACACTGTTGAGCAAGAAATCTCATATATAAAAATGAAAGAAACCTTCGCTAAAGAGTAACAGGTTAACTGAAAAGCTATGAATACTATTAGAAGCAGAAGGCGTTGATTAATTATCCTAAAAAACCGCGCCAGGAGACAGACTGCGATCAACTTTCTGAAAGTAGTTCTCGATTTCAAGAAAATAGTTCTACGGAGATTTGAGAATGTTGGAGAACTAGTTATATAAGAAAATTCCCAGTATATTTACAGTGTTTTGAAGCAGAACACCTTTTACGGTTCGTTTTTCTGGAAGGGAATTAAAGCACGTTACTCTGTCAGTCCTAATATTTCAATAATTATACGTGACTATTGCTCAGAAAAATGAAACCCTTTTCAGTTTTATTTGTTTTGTGAATTCGATTAAATTAAGTTTGATTTTCTGGAGTATAGTCGTGTATAGTTATTTGTATATGTTGAAGACTCTTCAATACGTAAAACCAGCATATACAAATCTCAGTAGTACTAATATTGTGAAGAAAATACAAAACAAAGTGTTTTATAAGCATTACAATTATACTGTTTCTAAGTTGTCCACTGAAGTCTTTTGAAACAGCACAAATAGATGACTCTGTTTACGGTTTGCCAAGAGAACTTTGACACTTGTTTTTCTGTCAATACAAACTATGTAGAGCGTGTGAAAGACTTTGAACACGGGTGCTATACGTAATATCACATTCCAGGATTAAGCCTTAATTTGTATATATATACAAAATACTTTCCACGTACAGGTTATTTTCGTCAGTATTTTACTGGACTTTCTGTCACAAATACGCCATATACCATTCATAGTTTTATTCAACACTACAGTCACTCATGTTTATTGGCAAGAAAAAAAAATCCAGTGAATGGTTTAAAGAAGAAAACCTGTTTTATACATTGTTATTTGAGTTACGTAAACCTTGTTTCTAGTAAAAATAGTTTTTTCTTTGGTCGAGATGCATGGTTACTGAATGAGAAAACACGTTTTTGGAGCACTTACTAGTTAACTATAGAGAAAGATTAATTTAAAAAAACACCATTACATACAAGGTAAAGAAATTTAAAATTCGCAAGTTCACTTAAGTTCGTGAGTTTTGCCTTCTTCTGTTACTAATAAGGAATCTCTTTTTTTGTTTCTCTATTTTTTCATTAAGTATCTATTTATTATACTTTGTTTTATATCACCATTGAGTTGTTTTTGTTGTTGTTTGTTTTTTTGTATAAACTATATGTCAAGGACAGCAATAATATGTTTACGTACCACTTTTTACTTCAGTTAATCAAAAATGAAGAATAAAGTACAAATTTAAACGATTTTGAGTAAAAAAAATGCACTTCTTACAGGCCTGGCAGGTCGAGCATCTTAACCCCTGGAGACCCCACCTACGTAAGTTGTATAAATACATTGCCTAACATTTTATACAGCACCGTATCATGTCTTTCACGTGCTTATAAATTGTGCTGTGAAACAACTTAATACTAGCTTTGTAATAACATTGTTACAGTTTCTGTCCAACAACTCACCCTCTGTATTGTACTAACAACTTTGTTAAAGATGTTGACGAAGTAGTATCATCTTTGTAAAAATGTAGCCAGACTGTATGAACTAACTATATTAAATCTGTAGTAGTATCATCTTTGTAACAATGTAGCCAGACTGTATGAACTAACTATATTAAATCTGTAGTAGTATCATCTTTGTAACAATGTAGCCAGACTGTATGAACTAACTAT